ATCACTACAACAAAATTCATTTTTACCGACAATTATTTACCGGCAATAAATTAATTGCCTTTGTTTTATTATTTAATAAAAGTATTAGTGACTAATATATAATGGTCACTAAAAATATATTTATATCACACCAAAATTTATTATTAGCGACAATTATTTTAAGAAAAACTTTAGTCCCACATCGACTAGAAATAAGATAACTAAAGAGTATATAAATAAATAATAACTCTCACCTTACAAGTTTGTTATATAGGATTGTGTTAGACCTATAACTTATTATTCTAAATTAGTATATATATATAATTAGAAGACAACCTTCATCTTAAAGTCCCACATCAACTAGAAATAAGGTAATTAAAAAGAATATATAAGTAGAAAGATAACTCTCATCTTACAAGTCCCACATCAACTAGAGATAAAGTAATTATTTATTTTTACTCATCTTACAAGTCCCACATCGACTAGAAAGTAAAAAATGTTATAAAAAGATATACACTTTTTTCGACCATTATAAAGGTTTTTACCAGCATTTTGAATAATTGTCGCTAAATGTTTTAGCGACACTGCATACAATGACTAATGTAAAAATGCCGGTAAAAGATTTTGTAACAATTTTTATTGCCACTAAAAATCATATTAAATGCCACTAAAAGTCTATTTTATTGTAGTGTTACAGAAAAATTGCCCGCTTTTTCGAATTATTTTTATTTTAATGAGAGAGTTACGAAACGATCTTGGAAAAGATTTGTTTAATATTTCGTCTTTGCTTACGTGGTATTTTTTATTAATATATTTTTAATGAAAATAGTAATTTTGCGATCTTAAAAGAGACTGAGATTCAAGTAGGGGTGTTCATGGATCGGTTTTTTCAAAAAACCGATCCAAACCGAACCGAACCGTTTTATAAATGTGGATCGGTTAACCGATCCATTTTTTATAAAGTGGATCGGTTTGGTTTTCTTAAAATATGGATCGGTTTTTTTTAAATTGGATCGGTTCGGTGCGGTGCAGTTATCCACTTTTTACTCATATATGGATCGGTTTTTTTAAAAAACCAAACCGAACCGAACCGATCCACTTTGTAAAAATGGATCGGATAACTGAATCGGTTTTATAAAGTGGTTCGGTTCGGATTTTTTTTCAAAATGGATCGGATTTTTCAATATGGATCGTATCGGTTATGGATCGGTTCGGATCAATTTGGATTTTTTGCACACCCCTAGATTCAAGTGGATTCATTAAAGTAGCATCCGTTAATACATGAAAAAAAAAAAAACTAAAAAAAGGGATTAGGACTAGGCGTCAACAAATCGAGCCTCGTCTTTATTAAAGTAGCATCCTTCATTGTGCTCCTTATAATGATTATTTAAACCGTGCTTTAGTCTTTTTTTAATATATATTTCTTATTTTTAATTTTAAAATAAAAATATTTAGTCTCGTATTTTTTGAAATATGAAATATTAGTTCTATCATCAATTATATTCATTGATCATTAAATTTTGACGTTAATCGATGACTTATCACCTATAACACTCAGGTTTAGTAGAAGAATGAGAACTAGTGTGAGAAGGATTTCTTTCTCTTTTCTCCTCATTTTCCCTCTTGATTGAGACCTTCTTCTCCTTCTTCTTCCTTTTGTAGCTAACCTAAGTTCCTAATTAGGTTTGAAATCGCACGGAGTGCAAAGAGCTTCTTTTTTCCCTTCTCTTTTTGGAAGATTTTGGTTCTCCAAAAAGGTAAGGAAAGCTTGCATATTGTGGTTGTGTCATGTGCATGTTAATTAGTACCCTTCTAAATCCTTGATTTTAGTGTTGTATTGTTGGATTCTTGGTGGCTTTGGGGTTTCATGAGTTGTGACTTTTGATTTGAGGTGAATCCTTAAATATTAGTGGATGCATGTTGCTTAAGTGGTGAAATTGTGATGTATAACTATTGTGTAATTGGTGTATGTTGCAAAATGTTGGTTGTTGGGTTGTTATGTGCAAGATTTTGGGCAAAAATCAATTTTGCATAAGTGCGAAACAAATGTCACGTTGGGCGTGCCTTCACTGTGTTAGGTGCAACACAACCAGAGGGTTCTCCTTTCTCCACACCGAAGACAAGATTAGTGGTGCCGAGCATGAGAAAATGGAATAGCCTTCATATTGGATTAGCACCAAGTGTGATCCGAAAGACGTCAGACATGAGGAGATACACTTGTCTCTACCTGGGTTCACGCTAGGCATTGAAGGGTGTGGCATAAGGCGTGAGTCAAGTAGAGGTCCTCTACTTGATTGGGATCGGATGTGGATTTTACCACACCAAGCGTGAGAAAGCGGGACAATCTTTACCTCAATCACGTTGGGTGCGAGTGGTGTGGACAAGACAGAGAACTCTCTGTCTTGATGGCGTCAGGCGCCATTTAAGTAGCATCGAGCACAACCTTTATGTTATATGCTTGTTGTTTTATGGTGAACTATTGATGAATATTGATGACCATGATGTATGTATGATGATATATAATGATGAATACCTAAGTTGGTAGATGAATCGACGATGTCAAAATGTAAGTTATATATTGTATAATTGTTAAGTTGTGAAGTTGTAGACATGTGGTTGAAATACATGTCTTAGTTAAGATACACATATGCTATGGGTGAATTATGTTGTTTTAAAGTTGGTTTCGCCTTTAGGGTCTATGTGGATTAATATGAAGGTAGTTGATCCTAGTTGAATGACTAATCAAGTAAAGTACAAAGTCAGAGACTTGATCTTTAACTTATATTGGAGGGTTTTAATATTTGAAGGGTAGTCAGTAAGTTAATCTCATAGATGGCTTAGTGTTGCAAGTTAATGTCATGGTAGGTCCATACCCAAACTATCCTACATTGACATAGTATCACACTTCCTGGTTTAAGTAGCAAAGCCTGAGAAATCAAACTAAGTTGTCTATATCTGGCTCTCTTTGAGTCCTAACATTGTACTATACATGTCCTAGCTGAGATAGGTAACATGATGTGTGATAAGTGCTATGATTTCATTAAGTTTATGGCCTAATTTGAAGCACTTATATCAATTTTTCTTGCTTTAGACTTTGTTTTTAACTCAAAACATATCTAAATTGTTAGGTGATCACATTTTGTTTTTGAATCATGTTTTTAAGTAACTTACAAGTATTTGGTTGTTGTTTTGTAGTTTAGGAGAAAGCTAGGAAAGAAGGAAGGAAGTCAAGCACAAAGTGGTGAATTTGAAGTTGAAGGAATTTTTGGTTAAGTTCCCAGGCTAAGCCCCAGATCCACGCTTAGCCTCAGCATGGCAGAGAATCCCTGGAACAGAATTTTGATCCCCACGCTGAGCGTGGAACTGAGGCTTAGCGTGGATTGTGCTGACATGTCATTATTCACATAAGACAAAAGCTTTTATGACCTAAAAGTGGGATTTTCGAGAAAAGAAGCAAGGAGGATCATTCTTGGACTTTGTGTGGCGGCTGGAGAGCTCTGGAACCTTCAAGATCAAGCTTCTTCCTTTCTTCATCATTTGTAGAGTTCTACATGTCTATGTGTAGCTAAACTCACCCTTGTTGGGGTTTGATGTAACTAAACTCATTCTCATGTGTAAACTCTAAGCTATCAATCTAAGTTGTTATTCAGTTTTATTGCTCTTTTTCTGTGCATAATGCTTGTTATGGCTTGATCACCCTTAACTTGAACTTAAGGTTTTTAAGAGATTGAGAAATGATTTTAAACCTTTGACTTGAAATAGAGCAGCTAATGGTGCTTATTGCTAGAGATAGAGTAAATGTCATTGGTCTTTCTTAAGCTCTTGTTTTTAAAGCTGGTTTCTAGGTTAAACTATGCAAGAGATTGATAGTTTAAGCTAGTAACTTAGATGCCA